TGTGACACTTAATAAACGCAGCGCAAACAGCTGTGACAAGAAATACTAAACGAAGTAAACAAAAAGAGCAAAAAGAAATGTGCAAAAATAGAAACGATCTCAGTTAACTACAAAGGAATAACAACAACAATGATAACAACAAATGACTCGGCAAGATTAGATGTAAGCTAGTGAAATTTAATTAAATTTAATAAAAACCACAAAAATCACAAAACTTTCACTTAGCTTCGGTTATTATCACACTAAGATGCTCGTAGGCACTTTTTATAGCAACTTTTACTCAAAATTAGCACAATAAACTTTGCAAAATACAAAGACCAATCAAGGCACAAATAAGTAGAACTTCACAGCTTGACGTTTGCGTAATTAACGGATTCTGAGGTAGTATCCAAAAGTTTTCGCATGGCGTTATCTGACTCATTGGTCATCGCCGGAAGTTTCGTGATATTGCGCAGATAAGACTTGACAAGGCGTCGCTTATTGTCATAACGTTGTTGAAGCATATCCCAGGCTATAGCAAAATTGTTTTCCTGGATACTAATACTGCGAAGAAGAGTTTCGGCTTCACCTAGTAAACTGCCTTTCAAGTAATGCAGACGTTGTACATCAGACAAACAAGCTTCATTAATAACGCATGTTGTAAATATATCTTTAAAACTTAACCATTTTTGAAACGAGCCATCGAATTTTGGCAGAATAATCTTCGGAAGCTTTGACGCTGATGTATTTGTAGTACCGCCGCATGTATGATTGAGTATGGTTGCTGGATGATTTTCACTACGATGATTGTCAAATTCTTTGATTTCATCATGTATTTCACCTAGTGCTNTACCGCCGCATGTATGACTGAGTATGGTTGCTGGATGATTTTCACTACGATGATTGTCAAATTCTTTGATTTCATCATGTATTTCACCTAGTGCTTCGCTGTACGCCAATTCTATTGCTTCCAAACGAGCTTCACTTAATGTCGTCTTAACCTTGCCCTCTTCGCCTTCAATAACGTCTGCTGCAGAAATGTCATCACGGAAGTCATTGTAGCGCTTCCAATAATCAGCCAGTAGATTCCTTCTGGCCACAAGATAGCCCTTAGTTCTTTTTTGTTTTGATACCTTTCTAGTGTTTGCCGCAAAATTAAGAATTAATCGAGCAAGACCTTCTTCCTTTTCAGCTGACATGATGGCGAACACGTGATCAGGTAGATTTCGTGATGTAATTCGTATTAATAGTTCATATTAATTGCTTAACACAATTAAACAATTGGCTAGAGACGGTTTCCCGCAAGGGATGCCAAAAAANGTTCATATTAATTGCTTAACACAATTAAACAATTGGCTAGAGACGGTTCCCCGCAAGGGATGCCAAAAAATGTTAGAATTAATTAATATAATGCAATTTTTATTTAAGTAGACTTCACGTCAAAATACCCCACTAGAACTTGAAGGGAGATCTCCCTATGTGAGGAATAAAAGAGTACTCCCCTTAACCTGATATCTGAGCAATAAGAGAGATTTGTCGGTTTTGTACTCCTTTATTACTCGTTTAGGAGTCAAATAAGAGATCTCCTAAGCGAGCGACAAAATAGTGCTCCCTGAGGTATGATTTGGGAGCAGTAAACAAGATTTCTTGGTTTTGTACTCCAGTATTGCTCGCTTAGGAACTTAATGAGAGATATCCTAAGCGAGCATTTAAAGAATGCTCCCTGAGGCGTGATTTGGGAGCAATAAGCGAGATTTGTCGGTTTTGTACTCCGTTCTTACTCGTTTAGGAGCAAAAAGTGATGTCTCCTAAGCAAGAAATCCAAGAGTANGTGCTCCCTGAGGCATGATTTGGGAGCAGTAAACAAGATTTCTTGGTTTTGTACTCCAGTATTGCTCGCTTAGGAACTTAATGAGAGATATCCTAAGCGAGCATTTAAAGAATGCTCCCTGAGGCGTGATTTGGGAGCAATAAGCGAGATTTGTCGGTTTTGTACTCCGTTCTTACTCGTTTAGGAGCAAAAAGTGATGTCTCCTAAGCAAGAAATCCAAGAGTATTCTTTTTGATTGATAGGAGAGCAATACGCACCTTCACTCCCTTATTGTCTTTTTGGGAGACTTCTGGGAGGTTACTATGGAGTATTGCTTCTTTGGGAGGATTAAGGGATGCTCTTTTTATGTGTGCTCCTCGATTGCTCGTTTAGGAGGTAAAAGGGATTACTCGCCCTCCTAGGACATACAATGTTAAAGGGAGTATACAAAATTACATGCTTATACACAGAAGCATAGGGAGCAATGGGATGTATTCGTATACTCCCAAGGGAGTACTCACCGAGCAATCGTACGATGCTCCTAAGTACTGGGACATTACAGCCACCCATACCACGATTGTAAAGCTTATCTACGTTCTAAAATTCTTCAACTTAAAAAACTAGTACTCGGGGTCAATCGTGTGACATATGTACATATGCAGCTAACATACAACCGCGATCGACAAGCCAATCAGCGACTACCAGCGCATCACAAAGCTCGCACGAATAGTATGCACAAAGCGTGGACTACGATGACAAGTGCACTCTCGCCACATATGTTTATTGGGATTGCTGTGCAGTTGAAGCCTCTGAGTTGCATTTATCTTTAACACCTGAAAGTCATTCATTTCGGCTTCGAGCAATTGCACGCCTGTGGGGTGCTCTCTCCTGGCGGTCTCGCTTTGGCTATTTTCACGCGTTTCGTTGTGGTCGCCGCGATTTCGCTGTGGATTTGTGACTTTCCCCGTTGTTCGTTGTCCGAGCATGGTCTCTCGCTTTCGGCGTCGTTGGCGGTGGGCGGACGCCAGCTGACTGGGGTTGATGGTGCGCTTTTAACGGTGCCCATTTCTTGCACGGCCAATAGCGGCTGGTGTGTTGTCGCGGTCGCTGGTATCAGCGGTGGCCCGTGGAAAATCTGAATCCGCTGAATTCGTGGTTTATTTGGTGGCCACGGCGTACTCTCAAATGGCGGTCGCCACGGTCGGACGCGTTGTGGCTCGTCTGGCGCAGCTGGATGGGGTTTCCGGCGGCTCATCACTGCGGTGTGTCTGAAGCGCCTAATTCATAAAACCTGGAACGAGAAGATGGAGAGTGCTTTTGGTTTTGTCGCTGCGGCTTCGGTAGTTGGTTGGTTGTTTATGTGGTGAATGGCTTTAGATCCTGCAGGTGTGCGTGCGCTGGTTGTTTGTCGGGCCGCTCGGGGTTGCTGAGTTTCACCGTGTTGGTAGATATGTACTTCGCGATTATGTATGGGCCTGAGAATTTTGGAGCAAGCTTCTGTGCATAGTTGTCGGCAGCAGAGGAGAGTGGGTGATCTCGCTTCATAACCTTCTCCCCCACCTTAGGTTTCCACGGCCGTCTGCGCAGGTCGTAGTATTTTTTCTGCTGCTTGGCTGCCGCGGTGAGGTGCCTCTTTATCTCTGTCCATAACTCGGTGATGGCTGGAGGTGCTGCGGGTGCTCTTCAGGTACTGCCCCTTCGGAGCGTATCTGCCGTGGCGCTGCTGGATTGCGCCCGAAGTTTATCTCCGCGGCGGAAGGTTGCGTGGATTCGTGCAGCGTCGTGTTCATAGCGAAGGCGATGTGGGGGAGCTCCTGGTCCCAGGTGCGGTGATCTGCTTTTGAGCGCTGGGCTATCATGGTTCTTATTACTCGATTGGCTCGCTCGGTGAATTTATGTTCTATGCGATGTTCGCCGAGGAATGCTGCTAGCGCTTTGCCCACAAATTGTTTCCCGTTGTCGCTGAGAAAGACAGCCGAACCTGTAGATGACTCTCTCCTGGAGTGCTGTGATGACGTTTGCGGTGGTTGTTTGGCGTACGGGGACTAGTTCAACCCATTTGGAGAACTTTTCGACCAGGACGAGGAGGCACGTGTTTCCTTGTTTGGAGCGCGGCAGCGGTCCGACGAAGTCGGCCGTGACAATCTCCCATGGTCGTGAGCACTACATATTGGCCATCAATCCTGCTGAGCGTCTCTGTTCCACCTTATACTCGGCGCAGGGCAGGCATCTTCGCACTTGCTTGAGTAGTAGTTCTGCTGCGCTCGTTTGAGAGTTTTCGTGACACCTAGATGGCCGGCCGCTGCGGCGTCATGCACTTCTTGCAGGATGTCTGGTCTACGACTGGTGGGGATGCAGAGCTTCCATTGAGGTGCGCGGGAGAGCTTCTTGCGCGGCGCGATGTGGTGGAACAGTCTATTGTCGATGACTTGGTAGTCCGGGTTGCGACTGGGTTGTTGCTGTACCACCTTCAGTTTCCTCTCGTACCAATCGCTGGTGCTGGTTTCCACGGTGTGGAGCGTGGCTGCTCTGTCATCTGTAGTTGTTAGTGGGCATCGCGAGAGTGCGTCGGCTACTATGTTCAGTGCTCCTTACGGTATTCGATGTCAAAATTATACTGCTGGAGTTCGAGCGCCCATCTTGCCAGTCGTCCGGATGGGTTGTGTAGCCACTTCAGCGAGTGGTGGTCGGTGATTACGGTGAAGTGGTATCCTTCCAGGTACGGTCTCATCTTGCGTATCCCCCATAGCACAGCGAGGCACTCTTGTTCGGTGGCTGAGTAACGCTTCTCCAGGTCGTTTAGGCTTCGGCTGGCGTACGCCACGACTCTCTCGTGGTCGGAGGGGCGTTGAAACAGGACCACTCCGAGCCCTTCTCCGCTGGCGTCGGTTTGGAGGAAGAAGGGGCGGTTGAAGCCGGGGCAGCAGAGTGCTGGCGTGCTCGTGAGCTTCTCTTTTAATGTCAGGAATGCATTTGATTGAGGTGTGCCCCATACCCAAGCCTGGCCTTTCTTCAGCAGTTGGTTGAGTGGTGCTGAAAGCGTGGAAAAATCGGCGACTAAGCGGCGGTACCATGATGCAATACCGAGGAATCGACGAAGCTCTCGGGTGTTCTCAGGCGCAGGCATTTCTCGTACGGCGGATATTTTTGCAGGATCAGTGTGTATGCCCTCGGAGCTAACGATGTGGCCGAGGTAGTGGAGCTTCTGTTGTACAAAGCTACATTTGTCGAAGTTCACCTGCATCCTCTTTCTCTGGAGTCGTTCGAACACTTCTCGTAGATTGCTCATGTGCTCGTCGAAGGTGTCTCCTAGGACGATGATGTCGTCTAGATACGCGAATACCTTCGGCTGAAGTTCCGGGCCGAGAATCGCATCGAGAGCGCGCTGGAATGTCGCTGGAGCGGAGTGTAATCCAAACGGCATGACTTTCCACTGGAACAGCCCCCTCCCTGGGACGGTGAAGGCGGTGTATGGCCGAGATCCNATGTCTTTCCACTGGAACAGCCCCCTCACGGTAAAGGCGGTATATGGCCGTGGTCCTTTGGCTAGGAGTATCTGCCAGTAGCCGTTTTTTTTTCAAATGGTGGATATGTACTTCGCGTCTCTGAGTTGGTCGAGGATTGCTCCAGTCTGGGGCAGTGGGTATGCGTCTGGTTCGCTGGCGGCGTTGAGTTTGCGGTAGTCTATGCACATCCTCCAGCTTCCTTGCTTCTTACGAACTAGGACAATCGGTGAGCTGTACGCGCTCTTTGATGGTTCGATCCGCTTAGCTGCCAGCAGCTCATCGACTTCAGCATTGATCACTTGTTGCATAGCCGGGTTACGGGGGTAGTAGCGCTGCTTCAGCGGCCGGTTGTGTTTGAGAGTGATCACATGCTCGGCTGCGGTACTGGGTCCGGTGATTCCGCCGAAGGTCTTCTTGTGGTGTGTCAGGAATTCGGCCAGCTGGTTATTCTGCTCCTTGCTCAGGTGTTCTCCCTCGGTCAGAGCGCACAGCTGGGATGGTGCATCTGTTGCTCGCGGGATGACTGCGGGCAGTGATTGTCCATCTAGCGTGAGGACAGCTCCTCTGCCTCTGAGGAAGTCCATCCCCAGGATCATGCGCTCTGCGAGATTTGGGAGTGCCGAAGCAAGTGTTGTTGTCGCTCGCTTTCTAAACATTATTCCCACTGGATAAGTGTACAAGCTGGAGACGCATGTTTGATCGGCCAGTTGTACGTTTCGGTGAGTAGGTTGATGCTGGACTTTCCTCTCTATGGACTCGTCGATGTAGGTGAGTGTTGCGCCGGTGTTTAATAGCGCTCGTATGTTCATACCTTCTACGCTCACATCGATATAGTAGCGACCATCTACTTTTCCTCCTGGTTGAGTGTTAGTATCCACAGGGG